ACGGGCCGCAAGGGTTTCCCCGAAAAGCCAGGGGTGGACAAACCCCCACCGTGACAGCCAGACCAGTCAGCGTTGTGCCGAATGACGGGCCGCGAGGGCTTTCCCGAAAGACCACGCGCGGAGAAGCCCCCAGCGTGGGCGCCCGGCCAGCGCGGCAAGCCAGACCAGCGCGGCAGACCAGACCCGCACGCCACAGCTGGTCTGCGGTGCTGGTCAGCCGTGCTGGCCTGCCGAGTGGGTCTGGTCTGCCACGCTGGCCTGGCCTGTCGCGCTGGCCTCCCGAGCGCGAATGCGCACGCCTGGGCCCTTCAGAGGCGGGGGGGAGGCCCCCGAGGGAAAAGGAAACGGGGCGGGGGGGGGGGGCACTTACAGTCGGGGCGCTGAAGAAGGAACCCTCTCGGTTGGGGAGGGCCTCGGTGTTCCTCGAGTGTTTCACAGCTTGCCTCAGGTTCTCCTGAGGTCTTCCACTGGAAACCGAAGCCTAACTTCTGGGAAACTGGGGCCTCTGTTTCCCATAAGTTAGACTTCGACTCGTTCCTTCTCTGTAGGGTTCCTTAAGGTCACCGCCCCGGCTGTGGGGCCCGAGGCGCGGCGGGGGCCGCCCCACCCCGGGGCGGGACCAGGGCCCCGCGCGCCGACGCCAGCCCCCCAGACACGACGGGGCCATCGGCGAGGCCGAGCGGGCCTCTGCCGCATCCCCGTGACGCCGGGCCTGCAGAGGCAGCGGCCCGGAGGGCCCACAGTCGGGGGCGGAAAGGGGGGGGGGGGATGACTAAGATGACGGGTGTGGAGAGCATGGCGTGGGCCATGATCTTTCCCCTGATTTCGCGGCGCCTCTTCTTGTTTCGTTGCGTCCCTGGGCCCCCCCGCTGGGCCGCGCACGTGCCGCCGGTCATGATTTGCACCCCCCTCTCTTTGACGCCCCCCTCTTGGCCGCTCCCGACCCTGCCACCTCACGCCCGCGGCCCGGCAGAGCTCGGCCGCGACCCGGGCGCGAGAGAGCGCAGGGCGAGGGGAGGCGGCCGAGCGGGCCGGCGACGGGCGCAGGGAGGGCGCGAGCCCAGGAGGTCGCTCACGCTGGTCCGGCTCGGGGAGGAGGAGGAGGAGGAGGGGGAGGAGGAGGAGGAGGAGGAGGAGGAGGAGGAGGAGGAGGAGGAGGAGGAGGAGGGGGAGTCGGGGAGGGAGGAGGAGGAGGAGGAGGAGGAGGAGGAGGAGGAGGAGGAGGGGGAGGGGGAGGAGATGGAGGAGGACATTGGATAAGGAAACCTTCGATAAGGAATCCAGGGTCTGGAAGCTAGTGGAAAGCCGATCGTGGATCGGTCATGGATACCACCGCCGCCCTCATCAGATAAGGAGCCCTCCAGGGTCTGAAGCCTCCTGGGCACATTCCTCAACGAACGCCCCCACCGTTATTGGCTCAAGCCCATTTGGCCTCTGGCGGGCCCGCCGATCCCGATCGATCCATCGGGGTCGGTCGCGCCAGCGCCGCCCGATCGCTCTTGCGGTGGCGGAGGCGACGATCGGCCAGCCCGCGGGGCGGGGCTGAAGCGCGCCGCGCGCCATACCGCGGCGAGGGGGCCACCGTCGCCCCCCAGTCCCCTCGCCGCGGGGAGCGGCGCCTGCGGCCGCGGCAGCGGCGGAGGCGGCAGCACGCCGCGCGGCTGGACAGCCGCACCAGAGCCCGCGTGGCATTGCCGCCAGCGGGACAGACGAGGACAAGCACGTCTACTGCTTCGATTGGCAGCTGCAAAGGAGCTGCTCTGGGAGCACCACTCGGCGCAGCAGCACCAGCACAACCAGCAGCACAACGAGGACCAGGACACAATGCCGAAGGCGCCGTGGCAAGGCTGGAAGTGCATGAGTACCAGGTGTGGATTATGGAACTCAGATGCACAATGGTGGTGCAAATGCGGTCAGCCATGGGAAGGCAAAGTACGGAGCTGGAAGGAGATCGGCGGAGACACCACCAAATGGAACAAGAAGAAGAAGAACCAGGACAGGGCCATTCAGGACGTGATAAAGGCCACAGCGCCATCCACGGACCGCGAAGCAAGAAAGAGCAGAAGATACGAGGACCCTCCAACAGACCACGAAATGCTGCGAGCCTTCAAGCACAAGACGGAGAAGGAGATGAGAATATTGGCGGGCATCATAGTGGCGAAACGACAGGACCAGCAGGACGTCATTGAGGAGACAAAAGATATGGCGGCGTTGAAGCACATGATGGTGATGACACAGCCTGCCAAAAAGAAATTGCACGAACTTCGAGCGAACAGAGACCGACTCCAAGGGAAGCTGGCGGCCATGAGGAAGCAGCATAGACAACTCGAGGACGGCATGCAAAAAATAGAGAAGGAGCTGAGAATGGCGGTCAAGTACCTCATGGAGCAGCAGGCCATTGCGAAAGAGGACGAGTTGGAAATGGCCGACATATCCAGCTCGGAGGACAGCTCCAACGACAGCGACGGAAAGATGGCAGAAGAACAAGAGAAGAGGAGGAAAGCGGATGAGGAAGAAAAGAGAAGAACGAGAAGGGAAGAAGCCGAGGAGAAGGAGGTGAAAAAAGAGAAACAAGACAATGATAAAAAGAAGGAACGACAGAGAGAGGAAGATAGGAGGAGGATACAGGAAGAAGAAGAAAGGAGCAGAGCAAGCAAGGAGGACATACAAAGAAGGAGAGAGGAAAAAAGAGAAGAAACAATACGAGCCACCAGGATGGAGGGAGAAAGAAGAGAAAAGGAGGAGATGCAGAGGCACATAAGAGAATTGGTCGAGATGAACAAGGAAATGGTGGAGAAAGTAGGGGAAGCGACAAAAAGGGCCATGACAGCGGAAGCAGCTGGACATGAGAAGCAGCAGGAATATGTCAAAAACGTCACGGAGTTGAGGCAAATACTGGCACAACAGCAGAACGGACAGGACGGCAAGCAGAAGCAAATGCAAGACACGACAATCCAGGCATGTGCCCAAATGAGAAAGATGCAAGAAGAAAGACGCCACGAAAGGGAGGAGATGGAGCATAGGCTCAGACAAGGAGAGGAAGCACGCAGGAGGGAAATACAAGCAATGCAGGAGCAGCACAAAAAGGAGGCCGAGGAGATGCGTGCGCAGGGGCAAAGATGGCAGCAAACTATACAAGCCGACTACGCCAGGATTGCCAACATTGCCATGGAAGAGAAGGCACAACGCGAAGCAGAGCAGACAAAGAAAGCAGAAGAGGCAGACATGCAACTGCAGGAAGAACGGTGGAAGCAGCAAAAAATGGCAAGAGGCGCAGATAGCGGCGCAGGAACAGGTTATGAGAGATGCCAAAGTTCAAGAGCTCGCACAACAAGCAGAGGAGGCAAGAAAACAAGAAGAGGCGGACAAGCAACAACGACAGAGGAGAGAGAAGATGAGGAAGTGGGAAGAAGACAAGGACGAGTGGAGAAGGAATAACAACTTCGGACCACTAAAACAGCCAGAGACCGAGCACAGGGAAGAGACGGAGAGGCAGCGCGAGCTCGAGAACGAGGAAATGATAAGACAAGCAGAAGAACAGGAGATGGCAGAAGAGCAGCAAAAAAACGAGGAAGCAGCAGAGGAATATGAAACGCAGACAGGTGAGATGCTCAACCCTGCTATGCCAATGCACGGACCAGAATCAGATGACGAAGATGCATGGTGGGACTGGGACCAGCAAAGATGGAGGCCTCAAAATGAATGGACCCAGACACAGACACAAGGATCACGAGGCTGGTACCAGGAGATAGGTGAAGAAGATGACGACGAGTGGCACTGGAAACAAAGACAGGAGGAGGAGAGACGACAGCAACAAGCAAAAGAAGAGGAGCAAATAATGGAAGAAGAGGAGGAATAACTGAGAAGGAGAGAAGAGGAGGCAGAAAGGGAAAGCCAGGAGATGAAGCAGGCAGAACATGAATCAATATACACGTTAGGTGCTGTTCCCCTGTCTCAGATATGCGTGGCAGTCATGAACAAAGGGGAAGAAGAAATGGAGAAGACCAAGGAGGAGGAGGAGGAGGGGAGGTGGAAGCAAGGGCGAGGACACAACGAAGGAAGAGGAGATAAACAAGACGGCCACGTTCAACCCACAATGCTAAGAAACAAAGGAGGAGAGGAAGTGCAGAGGCATCAGACCCCCAGAAGCAGCGAGAAGAGGATTACACAGGCCAGCGGACACAGAAGCGGAGGAGAGACAGAAGGAGGAGAAGAATCAAGGAGGAGGGCAAGGCGCAGTTCTTCGCACCACACCGCCAAGGGAGGGCAGACAGCGCCTGAGAGCGCGGCACGAGGACCTGCAAGGCAGGAAAGACAAATGGCGGAAGAAGAGGACGGCGAGAATTGTGGGGAGAGAGGGAGGTTTTCAGGGCCGCCCCCGACCCCTCAATCGCGCGACGGGGGGGGGGGGGGGGGGGGGGGGGGCGGGGGGGGGGGGGGAGGGCAGCGGGGCAGGCCACAGACAGGTCGCCGTGGCCGCAGGGCCCCCAGTAGGGGGCAAAATGGTGAGCAAGCTCAGACTGGCACCGTGAAAGGCAGCGAACAAGAGCGGCGGCGTGCCCGAGCTCGACATCGCCAGCTACTTCGACGGCAGCGAGTTGCTCACCAAGGAGATGCAATAATACTGGCACCGAATTCAAAGGCGGCAAACATTTTTGACATGAATTCATTCAAAGAGGTTGAAGGCAACGAGGCTGGGAGCCATGGGTACTGCACCAGACTCGACGACCTCCATGACACAACGACTCGGCCTCGTGGCATGGGCAACGGCGACGCGACCGCGGTGGGCAACCTACACGAAGGACGCGACAGCAGACCCGACCAAACGAGGGCACCGAGGCGGCCTGCAATAGTCAGGGCACAGAGGCAGCTGGACCTCGACGTAGATAGATCAAGTACTAGGAAGGGGCTTGATGGCGGTGGCGTGGAGGACAAGAATGGCGACGAGGAGGACACAAGCAAGCTATACTCAGGAGAAGGAAGGGACCGAGCAGGCCCACATGAAGACAGAGAAGACGTACGGGGGGAGCAGCATCCCCGAGATCATCAGCACAGAGAGCAAAAAGAAAGACCAGACCATGCACCAGAGGTATGGATGGTGCAGTGCGAGACCCAGCCAGAGGAGGTGCCCACAGAATGCCTTCGTCGGCGGCAACCGATACAAGTAAGGACAGACACACACGGCGTGAAGCTACACGACTTTGCGGAGTTGGCCATACGGATGTGCCCGAAGAACGAGAAGCAGCCGAAGACCATCCACATACACGCAGATGGGAGTTACTACGACACGAAGCCAGAGGACACGTCGTGGTCCATCGTCATCATCAAGCAAACAGTGGATGGATTCAGCTTCTTGGGATACTTGACGGGCAAGGCAAAAGGAAGCACGCGGACAAAGCAAGAAGGATCAGCAAACCACAACACAGGCGAGCTCACGGCTCTACTGTGGGCATACGTGGCAGCATACGCGAACTACAGAGAATACGAGGTACACATGCATGCGGACTGTGAAGCGGCACGGGCAGCAGCGGACGGTACCCTGGCCATCGCCGCGGACTACGAGCTATCGCGGCTGACGGCGCTGGCAGCGGAAGAAGTGGGAAGAAGGATGAAAGTTACCAGCCACTACGTGAAGGCCCACGATGGACATCCATGGAATGAATTGGCAGACTCGATAGCAAAAAACCACAACCATGAAAGGACCAGATATACCAGCGGATGTGGACGGCATTATTGACATGCTCACCTACAAAAGAGACGACGAATGGAAAGTACTCAGTGACACACAATACCCAGACAAGAGGGCGTACCCGAACATCAACGCGGCGAACGAGACGGCGATGGAAAATAATGGATGGGACTTTGAGTACGAACAACAAAGAACGGACACGACGCGAGCAGAACCAGAGTGGACAACGGGGAAAGGACCCGAGCAGATATATACCAACAAGAAGAAGACCGAGCACGGAGCACACAAGAACACGGTGTTCGAGATCAAGATCGGCACATTCAATGCAATGACGATGGGAGAAGACGGACACAATGATGTACACGACCGTGTAAGCAGGCAGCCCTTCAGAGGGAGACCCACACGGCTACAGATGATACAACATGGAATACATATATTGGGCATACAAGAAACCAGGCAACCACCTGCAAACAACAAGAATGGATGGATGTATTCTACTATCAGGTGGACACGACGGCGGAAAACTGGGATGTGGGGTATTGTTCAACACGACCGAGCCGTACGCATGCACAAGATCAGGAGTCAAATATATGCAGATCTCGCATTTTCGTCAATCGTATGCAGACCCAAGAAGATACATCGTACGGCTCAAGGCCCCGCTGATAGAGGAGGTAATAGGAGTATTCCACACACCACACCATGACCACAAGAAGAAGGAACGACAATAATGGTGGAAGGAGACCAGGAGACTGCAGGACAAGTTCAGGTGCACGATCGTGTTAATGGACGCCAACGGGGAGATGACGCAAATCGACGGGCACGAGCACATCGTTGGCATATTCGGGGCGGATAAGACGGACGAGAACGGCGCAGAATTATTAAAAATACGCCAACGAGAACGACCTCACTGCGGTCGCCACGTACTACGACTTGGAGGACAGGTACACGTACGTATACAGATACAGGCCCGACAAAAAGAACAAGCCGAGCGAGTGGAAGACGACCCTGAAGCAGATCGGCCACGTACTCTTAGGGCGACATCTCATCGACTCGGTAACCAGCGCTGCTACACTGACAGACTGGGACAATGGTACCAAACACCCATATCACATACCAGTGGTACTGGAGATATCTGCAGAAGGCAAACGATCAGAAGGGAAGGCCAGAAGAAAAAGGATAGACATCAGGAAGCTGGAACAAGAGGAACTACTACGAGGGTTTCAGATGGAATTGGATGCCACGATGATACCATACTGGGAGGTGGGGGTCAACGAGCACTGCGAGTTTGCGACGGAACAATACAGACAGCTATCAGAAAAGTACTTTGCAGAATATGAGAAAACGGCAACCAAACCATACATATCGCGAACAACAATGGGACTGGTGAGATTGAGGCGACACGTACAACTCGCAATGAAGAGATACTTTACAAAGAAAAATGGACCCTTCACACTGCTACGACGACATCTCCCAGAACAAATTGATGAGTTGGCACCAGCAGGAACAGAATGGAGGGCGGACACGGACAACCTGCAGCTGGCCATCGACACGTACAACGCGGGAATAATAGAACTCGACAGGATGGCATGGAGAGCAAAAGAGTTCCTCAAGGACACGAAGAAACACCTCAGGAAGGCACTCAGAGAGGACAAGGCCAAGCTCATCAGCGACACTGCAGCCGAGATCGTGGACTACATCCAGCAGAACAAACACGAGAAGGAGTGGAGCAAGGTGGACATGATTCTCAAACTGAGTGGCAGGAAAAATAAGAGGTTCGCTGGAGGAGGACGACTACCACTCAGAGAAAACATCAACGGAGAACCAGCTCAAACGCAAGAAGAAGCGGATGAGGCAATGTTGAGGCACTTTGCGAAAGCCGAGGACGCGGACATCATGAGCAACATAGAGGTGGAGAAACTATACAACAAAAGGAAGAACGACTACGCGGAGACCTTCATGCAGGACATCGAGACCGTCCCTACCAGATAGGAGATACAGCGGAGCTAGAAGACAGCTAAGAGAAGGAGGGCGGCTGGACCAGACAGCATACTGGACGACGTACTAAGAGCTACAGCGAAGTCTTCAGAAAGATGGTGGTACCCAGTATACCTCAAAACGGCGCTATACCTGCAAGAACCCATTGCATTCAAGGGGGCTACACTATGTGGGATACCAAAGTCAGGACCTTCTAATTGGAAGTGGGAACATTTCAGAAACATATGTTTGAACAGTGTGGTGGGGAAACACTATCACGAATGGCTAAGGTCAGCACTGGGAAAGATACTACACCACATGATTAGAGACACGCAAGTCGGAGGAAGAAAAGGAATGGGAGCGCCAATGGCTGGACACCTCATCAGGACAGCGATATCACTTATTGCAAAGAAAGGCAAGTCAACTCTGATGATATACGTGGACTTAAAGAATGCTTTCTATATGATTATTCGCTCAATGGGGGTTACAATGGATCATTCCGAGGAGGACATAGAAGAAATACTGCAGAGAAGTACGATACCACAGCAATTTCGACCGCTGCTGGAAATAGCGCTAGCAGCACCACCAGCCGTACAAGGGCCACATGCACCAGCACCACTATGGGCAATGCTACCAGAGCCGGCGAGGGTAACATGGTACCATCCACCGACAACGGACTTGGCAGCGGTGGCAAAGCGAGGGGCCAGGGCAGGCAACTCAATCGCCGACTCCTTCTTCAATGTAATATAGGAAGCCTTTGGACGATATCGACATGCACATGAGGGAAATGGGGGTACTGCATAAAGTTGGACACGAAGTAGAACGCATATACGCAGACGAAGGGGACACGGCCATGGAGATCACGGACGTCAGCTACGTCGATGACACGGCAATACCTACTGTGGTCGCGGAAAATCAAAAGATAGAAGAACACATACAGACGGTATTCCCTCATATTCATATCACAATGGCAAAATACGGCTTCGAGCTCAACTACCAACCTGGGAAAACGGCGGCGACGTCACACCTTGCAGGGCCAAACTTGACGGAGGCAAAGCGGAAATCCAAAAAAGCAGGAGGAGTAAAGATCGTCATTGAGAGCATAAACGAGTCAGTGACAGTGGTGGCAACGTACAAACATCTCGGAGTGGAGCCAACTGCGGACAGCACATGGCAGCCAGAGATACAGCAGCGTGCTATATGTCACAAGCAGGAGATGAAGAACCTGAAAACGATATGCATGAATTCGAAGATCACAGCGAAGGACAAACTAAAGTACACGAAGAGCTACGCGAACAGCAAGTTATTATGGCAAAGCGAAACATGGCCGCCGATGCCCAAGATGGTCCAAAAAATCGCAAAGACAGCATATGGAAAGGGCATTAGACAAGCACTGGGTCAAAAAAACAGACCGAAAGAAGCACGCACGACGGAGCCGATGACAGACAAGGAGCTGTGCGCCAAGGCAAAGACTGGGAATCTGGCAATACTACTCAGATACAGGCGGCTGCGATTCTTGAAGGCAATCATGACAAGCGGCCCATCGATCCTAAGACGTGCGCTCGACGAGCTGGACACTATTACGAGAACCAGAACCTGGACATCCCTGGTAGAAGAAGACCTAGAATGGCTGGCAGATCATACCGACAAGGAAACGGAACAAAGAAAAGGGAAACAATAATGGATATTAATGATAAAAACGAAGGCAGATAATACGACAGGAGATGCAGATAAGCATGGAAACGGCAGATGGATATGGACTTGGACGAAGCGGACAGCGACAAATGGAAACGAAACTGGCAGATACGACTGAGGCAGATGGCAGTCAAACCTGTGAAAGAGCTGGAATATGATGCACAGTATATATGTTATGAATGTAGTTTCACAACAGCGGATATTGGAGCGTGGAAACGACACAGAAAGAAACACATGCCCATAGATTCAGCGCAGAGATACGCCACCAGCTCAATATGTCAGTCATGCGGAAAAGATTTCCAAACAAGACCAATATTGATCATACACCTGAGACACAGATGCAGGGGATGCCTCAACTGGTACAAACAATTCAAGCAGCCCATGCAGTACGACGACGCGTGGGAAATGCACGACAGGGATATTGAGGAGACAAAAAGATTGAAAGAACGTGGATGCATACCTGAGCGAGCACTGGTACCATGTACTAAAGTGGACAGGGGAGAGGACAGCGGCGACCACAAACATCAAGAGGATGAAGCTGGAACAAGTCAAGAAAGCGATGACATAGTGGCGCCTCAAATTCAACCGAGAGCGGAATGGATCGAGAGAACCACGGGGGTCCCTGACATGGCGAACCAGAACCAGCAGTACCTACTCTACGCTGCTGTGGAAAGAAGGAAGGGGGACTACGCGGACGCCATGATGCAGGAGATCAGCCAAGCAGCAAACACGGAGTACGACTGCAGCATGATAGGCATGGCCTGCGCCCAGCTGAATGAGGAGATGGTTGCCAAGTGGAGAGATAACATTGACAAAGGCATATTGGCAGCAGTAATCATCGCAACACCGACGGGCACAAACACGGCGGAGCGCAGGGACTACGACAACCCATGGGGGACATGGACGGCCACTACCTCGAGGAGACGAACGAAGATCATCGAGGAGAACAATCAGATACGAAATGGGATACTACTGGCAGGCCATGCCGCGCTGCAGGGCATTCCCATGATCCTGGAGATCATGACGCAGATCACGAATACGCCCGAGGTAAAAGAGCTTCGGGATCTGGCGGCCTGCCAAATGCTGGAGCTCAGGGAAACGATGAGTAGCTTTAGAGCACGGCCAGGACGCACACTCCTGACGGCAAACGTCTCGGGAGTAGGCGACGCATGCCAGGCCAGGCCAGAGAGAAGCATAGCCGAATGTATAGTTAGGTCCTGGGGGGGAGACACTGTTGGTCCAGGGAGCCAAACGTCCCTGGGCCCGACTGGGCTGAT